GTCTTGCTGATCTTTGTTCATGTCTTGCTGATCTTTGTTCATGTCTTGCTGATCTTTGCTCATGTCTTGCTGATCTTTGTTCTTGTCTTGCTGATCTTTGCTCATGTCTTGCTGATCTTTTCTCATGTCTTGTTGATCTTTGTTCATGTCTTGCTGATCTTTGTTCATGTCGCTGATCTTTGTGTGTCTTGCTGATTTTTGACAGGTGTGTATGCTCATGTCTTGCTGATCTTTGCTCATGTCTTGCTGATCTTTGCTCATGTCTTGCTGATCTTTGCTCATGTCTTGCTGATCTTTGCTCATGTCTTGCTGAACTTTGCTCATGTCTTGCTGATCTTTGCTCATGTCTTGCTGATATTTGTGTGTCTTGCTGATTTTTGACAGGTGTGTATGCCCATGTATTGCTGATTTTCCTGTGTTCTACTTAATTAAACTGGAAAATCTGTTTCAACTTTTTCAGCAGTAGTCACTAAAATGCATTTCCCAAGTTCAGCCTTTTTCTCATGTTTTCTTTTCTTTTTAATGTAATTTTAAGAGGTTTTTTGTCATTTTTCTGCATGTTTTTTGTTCTGTTTTTTGGCATTCAGTTTATTCTTAGTAATTCTTTGTGCGTGTGTTTGTGACATTTCATCCTTCGTTACTTTAATTGTTCAGACAAAAGACGGCAGCAGAGCAGAGAATCAGTCCAGAAATGTGTGAAAACTACAGATGAAATGAGTGTGTTTTTGTTTTCTGCAGCTGTTCACAGCTTTTTAATTTCATCTGAGGTTAGTGAGCCTGATGAGCTTCGTTGTGTTCCCCCCATGCAGGGTTCTGCGGCGCCTCCTCCCCCCACGCTCTGATGGAGCTCCATGAATTCTCCTTATTGCTGTTTAATGGAGATGGTACCCAAACAAATGAGCAGCCTTCTCCTGGCTCAGCACCGCAGCTCCTCATTAATCCCCACGCTGAGACGCTGATGGCATTAATTTCTTCAGACCAGCCGATGTTTTTACCTCCACAACCAAACAGAATCAGCCGAGGCAAAAACACAAGCTGAAGGTAAACAGAGCTCATGTCACACCTGGTTTATTTCTCTCCTTTTCTTCTTGTAAACGCTGCAGCAGCTGCCTGCAGAGAAACACTGATGTCTTTGTAGAAAAACAAACTTTACATCGTTTTTCTACCAACTTAAACATGTCATAATCAACATTCAGCAGCAACACAAGGTGAGGTTTTACCTATCTGTGGTGGTTGTCTTCTGATCAAACGGTCGAGAATTCAATCACCAGTCCTGCCTTGAGCCGCAGTGCCCTCGAGCAAAACACTGGGAATAAAATTATAAACGCCCTGAACTTGAATCACGCCAGAGTCTAAAGYGCTGCACACTACACTCATTTACACTGAAGGTGGTAAGCTACAATATAGCCACAGCTGCCCTAGATCATCTAAAGCTAACATTAACGTTTAGGGACAGCTAACAGAAGGCAGCTAAAGGTAACAAATGCTAATAGAAGGGAGCTAAAAGTAACAAATGCTAACAGACGGTAACAGAAGGCAGCTAAAGGTAACAAATGCTAATAGAAGGCAGCTAAAGGTAACAAATGCTAACAGACGGTAACAGAAGGCAGCTAAAGGTAACAAATGCTAATAGAAGGCAGCTAAACGTAACAAATGTTAATAGAAGGCAGCTAAAAGTAACAAATGCTAACAGACGGTAACAGAAGGGAGCTAACGGTAACAAATGCTAATAGACGGTAACAGATGGCAGCTAAAGGTAACAAATGCTAATAGAAGGCAGCTAAACGTAACAAATGTTAATAGAAGGCAGCTAAAGGTAACAAATGCTAACAGAAGGCAGCTAAAGGTAACAAATGCTAACAGAAGGCAGCTAAAGGTAACAAATGCTAACAGAAGGCAGCTGAACGTAACAAATGCTAACAGACGGTAACAGAAGGCAGCTAAATGTAACAAATGCTAATCAAGGGTAACAGAAGGCAGCTAAAGGTAACAAATGCTAATAGAAGGCAGCTAAAGGTAACAAATGCTAACAGAAGGTAACAGAAGGTAGCTAAAGGTAACAAATGCTAACAGAAGGTAACAGAAGGCAGCTAAAGGTAACAAATGCTAACAGAAGGTAACAGAAGGCAGCTAAAGGTAGCAAATGCTAATAGAAGGCAGCTAAAAGTAACAAATGCTAACAGAAGGGAGCTAAGAGTAACAAATGCTAACAGAAGGGAGCTAAAAGTAACAAATGCTAACAGAAGGGAGCTAAAGGTAACAAATGCTAATGGTTAGCTACAGTTTGGCTAGCTAAAAGTTAAAATAATAAAAGGCTAGCTAAATGTAACAAGAGTAGGTAAACTTTAAATGTACTAAGATTTGCCAAAAGCTGAAAGTAGTAAAGGCCTRACTAAAAGTAACAAAAGGCTAGTTAAAAGCTTAAATTAAGAAGGCTAGCTACAAGCTAAAAGTACTAAACGTCTAACTACAAATAACAAAAAGCTTGCTATAAGGAACTAAATTCTTACTAGAAACTAATCGTACAAGAATAGTACAACACAAGACTGAAACAGAACCAGTAGCTGAAGCAGACTTTAAAGAAAACAATAATTCTGTAAGGATTTAAGAGAGAATTAATTTCTGAGGGAAACATATTTATAAATATAAATTAAAAATGTCACAGTCCAKCTGAAGGTTCTGATGTAAGAGCAGCTAAAGTAACACTAAGGAGTGAAACTGTAGAACATTAGAAACACTTTAAAACAATAATGTGATGAGTCAGCGTGAGAATGCTGAGTCATTGTTCAGACAAGTGTTACTTCCTGCACTGCAGCAGGTAAAATCTTATAATTGGTTTGTTTTGAGTTGTTTTCAAGGTTTAGCAGGAGAAAGTGAAATCTTAATGACTGTGGAGGTGATGGATGGTTCTGAAATGACCCGAGTCAAGCAGAACTTCCTGATCCACTTCCTCCACGGCTCGGGTCACTCTGGTGATTAAATGTGATTTTGCCTGCAGCTCAGGGCCAGTTTTCTCCTCCTGCTCCTCCTCCTCTCAGTCATGGAGCGTTGGATCTCCCCTCCAGGGCCGAAGCCATCTGGTCTGATGGGTCTCAGAACACGGGTCTACGTTAGAGGCCTCAGTGTTTCCTGTCCGGTTCAGGTCCAGATGATTAGACACCGGCTCTGTTCGTGGAGCTGATTTGATGTTTTCTCTGGTTTACTCAGGATGATTTCTCAGTGTCCCTCCTCGGTCACAGATGAGCCAGACTCTTCTGTCTGAATATTTATCACACAACAGTGTCCCCGCCCCCCTGCCAATAATYTCAGGTTTTGGGTGAAAAGAGTTGTAATATTCATGAAATGAGCGCCGCTGAGTGGTTTGAAGGAGTGGAATCTGGAGAGCGGTGACCCTCACTTTCCACCATGATTGTTCTGATCCTGATGCTTCTTCAGGTTTGAAGATAAATTTATCCTTGTTGAAGTCCTTCACTGTGACCAGTCTGTGTTTTCACATATCATATGAGACTGGTTTTATTAAAAGGTGTGTTTGTCAGTACAGAGCACACACAATGTTTCAAAGGAAATGCCACAAACTTTCTGTTTTTATCCATRAATTTCCAACAAAAGAAGCTTTTATCCACTGAGACTAGACTGATGTCATTTCCTCCTCTGAATGTTTTCAACCATCAGCTGGGATCATTTATGTGCAGCTGAATGTCTGTAATATTTTATTTTAAAATTCACGACATGTTATCCTGTGCAGTTTGTCTTATAAAAGCTGACAGTGATAATTAATGCAGTGATACTCTCCTGTTAGTATAATATTCCCTCCTGACCTTTAAAAACTCCATTTCCTGTTTGACCCGAACAGTTTGTGGATAAATGTCAGCTCTGAGTGATGGACATTTGAAAGGCTGAGGACAGACTTGCCTGTGAGATGATTAAAATATGGGATTGTTTCATTAAGAGGCAGTGCCTTGTGGACATCCTTCTTTATTTTCCTGAAAGAACAAAGACAAGTTTGTTGCACTTTACTGATCGTTTAGCTCCTGTTGTATTATTTTCATCTTTAGTATCCATTTTGCTCATTTTAGCAACTGTTAACCTTACCTGTTCGTTTAGCTACTGTTCTGCTCATTTTAGCCTTTAGCTACTATTTTGCTGCTATTTATGGTACTGCTCATTTCAGCTTATGGTTTGCTCGTTTTAGCAGGTTTTTTTGTTTTTATTTTATTTATTTTTCTGATTTTCCCGTGTCTTGCATATTTTCACTCRTGGTTTGCTATTTACTCGTCTCTTGCTGTCTTTAGCGAGTCTTGCTGTTATTCACAGGTCCTTTGCTAATTTTCACCTGTGTCTCACAGAGATTTGTCTGCGTTTTGCTGAATTTTGTGTTTCGCATGGTGATTTTTGCCCATGTCTTGCAGATTTTCTTCAAGGTCTTGGTGATTTTTGCTCGTGCCTTGCTAGTATTTGTTTGTCCGTTGCTCATTTTTGCCCACATCTAGCTGAGATTTGACTGTGTTTAGCTAATTTTCATTTTTCACTTGGTGATTTTAGCCTGTGTCTTGCTGATTTACGTGCACTCCTTGATGATTTTCTCCTAGATGTCTTGGTAATATTTGTTGGTCCGTTGCTGATTTTTACCTTGTCTCAAAGATTTGCCTTTTGTGTTTCTTTGTGTCTTGCAAATTTTCGTCTTTTTACTTAGTGATTTTTGCCCATATCTTGCTAATATTAGCATTTGTCTTGCACATTTTCATGTTTCACTTTGTGATTTTTGCGTATCTTGCTGATTTTCCTTTTTTCACTTGCTGATTTTTCCTTGTGTCTCACAGATTTGCTTGTGTCTTGCTAACTTTCCTGTTTCACTTTATGATTTTTGCTTGTGTCTTGTTGATTTACGTGCACTCCTTGATGATTTTTTCCTAAACGTCTCACTAATATTTGCTTGTCCATTGCTGATTTTCACCCGTCTCAAAGGTTTGCCTGAGTCTAGCTAACTTTCCTGTTTCACTTGGTGATTTTTGCTCGTGTCTTTCTGATTTTCTCCAAGGTTTTGCTGGTTTATCAATGCTCTGAGGAGAAAAATCTGTTTATTTTTGGCGTAAACTAACTGGATGTTTGTGTTTGTAATGATTACAAACAGGAACAATAGAACTTTAGATGTGTTGTTTGTTGTGACTCGTGACTCGATGYTAAATGAACTAAATTGAAACTAGGGGTAAAAAAGTGATCCAGGTCTGAAGAACCTCTGCAGAACTGCTGATTCAGACCACTTTAAAATATTACAGGTACGTCAGGCTGCGTGGGAGGAAAATATAAATAAAGGAGGCGTGCATCAGGATTTTTGCACAGCGCTGCAGTGACGTTATTGATCTGTGAGGATAATGAGACGACTCCCATGAGAAACACGTGCGCYGTTCAGCATCAGCAGTTTGTTACAGGCAGAGGATTGAGAGGTTGACGCTCTGATAAATGTCTCGTCACCCGGGGGGCCACACTTAATAAACATTTTATTAGCTCACGCTAACGGCCCCGCAGACCATCAAAGACCTGCTTGTTTGACATTCGGGTGCTTTCCACTGATTGGCAATTTATCATGTTGCTCAGTGCTCAACAAGGCTGCCCTTTCATTCATAATTCATCCTCCTCTCCACTCCACGTGTTTCTTCTTCCATAAATTATGGCTGGAATTGCTTTGGGGAAACTAACGTCATAAAGAACTTGGTGGGTTTTAAACCTGATACTAAATACATGAATGTTCAGAACTTAAATATCAAGGATTGTATTGATTCGGCTGTAGTTGACCTCACCAGGTGGTTCACCTGTGTGGAGGTGTTTCTGCTGCCCTTTCAGGACAGGAGTCAAGACCTGACCGCCAGGTGCTCTCCAGTGAGCTCCCCTCTAGGTCTGGCTCCGGTTTCCCTCTTCCAGGCGAGGTTTCAAGGTTTTTATACTCTCCTGATCTGACCACTGAGGCCTTTGGGCCATGGTAGACCAACTTCCCAGACAGAGTAGACCCCAAGATCTCAGGGGTACTCAGACCCCTCCACCAC